CAATACATTTGTCATTGCTAAAACTAAACAGTCTCGCTTGATAAATTCTTCAATAGTTATTGTATGCCTCATTATTTAAAAACTCATGTCATTCATTAGTTTCTATTTCACTCGATAGTATTGAGCAATTTTAAGTTATCATCAAATCTATTTTCGTTTAATTTTTTCTACTATCATTACTGTTATAATTACAAGAATCAACATATTTGAAATTTACTTCTTAAGATGAAATCCTTGTCTTCAAAAGATAAATTTAACAATATGATTGTGCGTATTTTGATTAAAATTGAGCAAAGAAAAAACATATATGTTGTCGAGCTTGATGGCATCATTTAAAAATAAATTTAGTCATAAAACAGACGAGAAAAAAATTTTAGCTATGTCAATTAAGCCAATGATAAAGAAACAGTAGAAATTGATAATTAAAGATAGCTTAATAAGCATTTTTAATTGTAGTGCATATTTTTTTTAAATCTTATCAGACGTTATTCTCGTACTAGTAAGTAATGTTTACGTTAGTGTAGATTTTTAAATACAGATAGTGTGACGAGATTAACAACGTATATATGAAAGAAGTCTATGAATATTTATTAATAATTCGAAACATTGTCATTATCCTTATTTGAATTCAGCGACGAATATAAGAAACATAATTTTGTTTTTCTTCTTTTGTTGTTATATCATAAAAGAACTTTTCTTTCCACTAGATACTTCTAAATTGATAGGAACTTGAACAGTGACATAAATGAATTTATTCAGGTATGAAATCTTTGATGAAAAATGTTTGGTTATCTAGTTTGAAACATAATAGATTTTGAAATTTCTCATGTATAAATAATATTTCAATAGTAATACTTCACATCATCCAATGAGATAATACTGTAAGTAATTCAACATAATTTCATATTTAAATAGATGTTCACAAAAGAAAGAAGGATAAAATAACTTGTATATGAAACAATATAGAAGTATAGATTTGTTATTATCGTAAAGAAGACAAGAAATTATACTTATTGGATCATAGATATTTAGTTAATAATAGAAGATTTTGCAAAAATTCTATGACATATAATTTAATGTATCTTTATAAACTATTATTTTTTCTTTTCTATTTAGTATCATTTTAAGAGATCGATTTCGAATGTCACAATATATTATTTCAACTGCTAATTTAATATCCCATCGCGTAACAACTTATTTAGGAATACCTATCTTTATCTTTGGTGTAATAGGTGAATTTCTCAATATCATTGTTTTCCTTAGTTTAAAAACATTTCGACAAAATTCATGTGCATTTTATTTAACTATTATGGCAATGGTTAGTATTGGATATTTATTTACAGATTTACTTACATTTATAATGATGTATGGATATAATATTTATTGGACAAAACAATCAAGATTTTATTGTGTAGTTAGAGAAGGCTTTGCTCATACTTTCATGTTAATTGCTCTTGCATGTTTATGTCTGGCAATAATTGATCAATTTTTAGCAACTTGTTCATCTCCACGTTGGCAACAATTGTGCAATATTAATTTAGCCCGTCGTTTATGTTTAACATTTATTGTATTATGGTTTCTTTATGGAATTTTATTTTTTATTTCTTATGATTTGGTCACTGATATTTCAACTGGTAATTCAAATTGTAAAGTTATAAATGAAGCTGTTAAGCAATATCTTAAAATTTGGCATGTTCTTATATTTTTGGGTGTATTACCACTTTCTATTACAATTATATTTGGATATTTAGCATATAGAAATGTAAAAAAATTATCTTATCGAACATTACCTCTTGTTCGACGCAGATTAGATCAACAATTAACAGTTATGGTACTAACACAAGCTATTTTTAGTGTTTTTACTATTACACCATATACAGTTATAAATGCAATAATACTAGATCCCTATCTAACACAAGATCCAATTGCAAAGGCAATATTATATTCTGCTGGAATATTATCGATTATTTTACTTTATAGTTGCTTTGCAGTAAATATAATAAAAATTTAATAAAATGATTAGTTCATAAATATTTCTATATATATGTATATATTTTTTTCTTTTAGAGTCCATTCTATATTTATATTTGTGCATCAGAACGATTTCGTCATCAATTAGTTTTTGTTCTTTACAAAATGCATCTTCAACGATGGCGTCGTCGAAATGTTGTTATCGATTTTGTTATTTCACAACACTAAACATCGCGCCTTTTTATCAAGAACCTTCTATATTTTTATTTGTTGTCTATGTATTTGTCTATTTTGTTTTTCAACGATCTTAGTTATACGACATGTGACAATTCAGTTGTACAAAAATAAAACTTTATTGTTCCTAGAAAACACATAGTTAGGCAGTATCTGTAAAATGTCTGTTTGATTGCATGAAGTAATTATCAATAATTTATCTGCTAATTTTATCCAAGGATGTGGATCGGTGAATTTGAAACTTCGATGCCCATTAAAGAGTACCTGTCGAAAGCTTTCGAGGATGCGAAACCTTTGAAAATGAAAAAATCGTAGATGGGATCTATCATGTTGGAGTCTTCGAAAACCATCGCATAAATCCCGAAGTGAAGATTAGAACATAAGTACTTAGATTGGGTGCGGATGTGGGTCGAGTGCAGACTCTTATCAACACCCACACCCTTGTTTGAGAGCGTCCTATTTTTCTTTTGCATTGTTGCTATTCGCTCGTTATCTTTCATTTTTCTTCAAATCATTTTTCTTAATTCAACATTCTTATTATTATAATTATTGAATCAATTAGCAAATAAATCTGTTTTATACATCCATGATATCCATAGAAGATCTTACGCATTGTTATATATATATATTAATCAGCTCATAAACAATGATGTTGATTATCTTTCAAAATTATAACTTGATCAATTTTTCAGAAAGACTAGAAAGTCTGACGTCTGCTATTCTTAATTGCTAAGATCTGTAATGGGGCCTTGCATTACTATGTATCAGTAAGGAGAGAAGGGAACCGCAAAAACTTGAACTTAAAACTTACACTCACTATTTTCTTCGAAAATATATGTGACTTCTGCAAAACAGTAGATTGAAAAATTGTACAATGAAAGAATTTTTCTTTAGTCGTATGGTTTTTTTCTTACAATGAATGTTTGTCGTGTTATGAAAAGCTTATTGCAACGAAGATTAACTTTCAGTGATGAAATATGAACGAATTAATTAACATTGATATATTACATGACAGTCATATGTAGGAAAGTTGTTATAATTTTATCTTTTTAGTATGAATCAAAACATAAAAAGTCAAAGCAGATATTGAATTCTATCACTTTGAAAAATGAAATCGTAGCTGATGTACATATTTTGGTAAGTAAAGCCGAAGCAAAAGTTCCGGAGTCAGACATTACAATGAAACATTTTATTCAAATAATTCTTTTGTATCGACTCTCTTCGGTTCAATCTAATGTGTAGTCTTTGTATACAATCGTTCGTGTTGGTTTTCTGAATAAACAGAAAGATTTTCTATATGTTATTCTTGTTTATGAATTGATTTTTTATGTGACGCTGAATATTTTGTTGATCACTTGTTTAATAAGAATTTTTTTGCAGCAACCAACATTAAATAGAATTATAATAAGAAAGCAGTTTATGTGCGTAAAACATTACTTTTCGGACTCAACAAATATTGATTGCAATAAATAGATGATTCATTTTTACTGCTATGCTATAGGACTATTTTCAATTTAAAATGGAGATTGTATTTTTCATGTTTGTGAATATTTGTCTTCTAAAGAAAAAATATAGCGCTTGATCCATGAAGAATGGTTCTCTAGTATTTTCGTTCTTTCAACAGGGCAATCACAATTTAAAGACGATATTTTAAGCTCATTCAATAGAATGACGACGTGCGTCTGTGTAACTGTCACTTTATAAAGTCAATCTATTGACCAAAGCATTCATCAATGTTAGTCAAGCGGTATCATTCGAGATGAATATGCTAGTAGTATTGTTGAGACTTTTCATTTGTTGAACCTTTACAGTCAGATGCTGAGCTCTTTGTTTTTTGCAAAATTACAAGGCACTGATCCTACTTGTCCCATAAAACGTATCACCAATTTTCTTTTCATGGCTTTCATTATACTGCTTAACCTAGTCTTGCGTACACAGTGATAAGGCTATTTATTGTGAGCGAACAAATTGATGATGAAGAGCAACGAACTATATTCATAGATTACATCAAAGCTTTCCGATGATATTTCTACGAACACATCAGTTGCTGAAGTTTTGATTCAATAATTGCATTTTTTGTTATACTGAATATCTGGTGATCTCGGTGGCCTTTGGCTCACTCATCAGCTGCTTTGTATCAGTACTGTTATGTGCTTGATAAATACTAATCGTACCAGAGTACTAAGCCATTGATTCAGGTGAATAAAATTCATTTTAAGCAAAAAGAACTAGTATAACTGAATGCATAAAGAGATGATCTTTGGTGTTTTTCAATTTATTAATTTAATCAAGTCAATAATTAATATTTTCTTTGCAAAGAAGTATTTCAATATCATATGTTTACTTTTATTTTATGATTCTGTAAATAAAATATTGACTATTGAATCAAATTATTTACGCACCAATAAATAATTTCTCTCTAACAGAATACATACAAGTTACATTCTTTCATCTATTGCCACCTATGCGTTCTGATGGATGCTGTTATGAAAAATAACCATAAATAAACTTTAGCAGCTTTGTATAGACTTTGTTTTTGATTCAATTTGCTACTAAAGCTTGAAAATATGAGTTTTGCCTTCTCATGAAGTGAAGAGAAGCACAATTAATAGGATCGAAGCTTCGTATATATTTATATGTTAGAAAAAAAAAATTTTCTCATCGAAATTGAGTAAGTAGATGGGGACTCCGAAAAGAAAACATACATGAAGGTAACTGTTGGAATGTATGCATTTTTTCTGTGATGATTCTACACTTCTTTTTACGTCAATTTCGACAAAAAAATTGAACTTTTCGTTCCCACACGAATGCTCAAAGTTTTGTAGTCTCGCTATTCAATTGTTCAAAGTATCTAAATTGGTATGATAATTTCTCAACAAATGAATAGTAGTAGCGACAAAAATATGATATTTGTGTCTCCATCAATTCTGTTAAAATGTGTTCGACACTTATTCAACAGAAGATAGTATGCATAGTTGAAATCAGTCAATGCCGTAGAAAATGCGTAACATTTAAAGAGAATGATGAATTTGAATAGAACATCAATCTAAATTAGAGTATAATCCATATAAAAAATCCACGAAAATTTGAATCGTTAGTTCTAGTTAGTTAGGACTTAGTTATACAATTGTAATGTCTATTATAGAATGAAAATTATGCAAGTGTTATTCCTAATGTTGGTTTTGATATCTAACTGGACTTGTCCAGTATCAACAGATATCGTTCTTGCTGATTTTCAGCAACAGGCTCTAGAACAGCATAACTATTATCGTCAACAACTACACTGTACCGATGTGATGACACTCAACGCATCTCTGAACACAATCGCACAAAATTACGCACAGTATCTTGCAGCCAATAATATTTTCAATCATAGTAGAGCAGCAGGACTTGGTGAGAATCTCTATTATTCATACTCATCGGCGGGAATCAGCTTTATAAACGGTAATAATATTTTATCCAATGGGCAACAAAAGAATGATGTTTTGTCTTTCAGGCTCAGTTCCCACAACTGCATGGTATGACGAAATATCTTTGTACAATTATAACTCGCCTGGTTTCTCCTCTGGTACTGGCCATTTTACGCAAGTCATTTGGAATGGTTCCACACAGTTGGGCATAGGAATCGCATTGACTAGCAATAATCAGACAGCGTATGTTGTAGCCAACTATTTTCCGACAGGAAATATGTTGAATCAGTTTGCTGCTAACGTGCTTCCACTATGTACCTCAACGGCAGTTGCCGAATCAACCACAACTCTAGGATCAATTACTACTGCCGATACAATAGCAACTACTGGTGAAACAACAGTCACTGTCGGAACAACTTCTAATGCAACAATTACAAATAATAATATCTCATCAAAAGGCTTGACTATCAGCAAAATTCAACAACATCATCATGCTTTCTTGGCTGTTGTCGTCTTTGGTTCTTGGTTTAATCTATTCTGAAAATGGATCGAAACGAAGGCCGATCATTTTTCTAAAAAACAACATTTATTGAGAAATTTACACTCTTTGACACGGTTTTAACATTTCATCAAACGACTTTTCTTTCATTGATTACTAACGTTGTGTTTGCATCTTGAAATAAATATATCAATCAAAAAAAGGTTTTTATTTTTCAAGGAATCTCTGAAGTTACTGGACACGAGACACACAAGTCGTGAGAAAAACTCAATAGTCTCAAAACACATTCTGTTCGATCAGAAAAGCTATTGAAATGATTTTCAATCCAAGAAACTTCCTTCTTGGATAACTCTTTGTAATGTTAAACTACCCCTTACATTCGTTGATCATTATCTCGTAAATTTTGAGATCATATATTAACCAACAACTGATATTCTCCTCCACAAGTTGCGCTCATTCAAATGCCATTCAAAAATCCTTGCGAAACTGTATGCAAGGTGTGAATGTCCATTTTCTCTTCATCCACACCCACACTCACAATAACAAATCGATATTTAAAATTCGATGAACATTAATAAAAAAAAAACACTCCGTCATTTTTTCATTTTTGCTTTAGTTAACAATGATTTAAATAAACATCAACATCATGCGACCAAAAACTATTTTTCTGTATAATAAATATGTTTTATTTGACACAAGAAAATGAAGTGTTGCCGTTGCGAATTTAGAGGAGAGGCACTGAGAACGATCGTTTCCATCCCAAAAAAGTCTTTTCGGTTTTTCCCAGCAGAAAAAGCTAAAAAATGAGCGTCGACACACATTTTATAAGCATGATCACCTGGCATCTCCATTGAAGCGCCCTACATCGAAAAAATTCTACGTTCACTACTGAAGTGTTGTGTTGTAGTGCTTCGAGTGTTTTTATTGCAAATAATAGGGAAAAAAACATTATAATAAAATATGCAGAGGAGATTTTTTCTACTTTACTAAATTATTATCTCGTTAAAATCTCTTCTAAATTAAAAGTTTTTCTATCATTAACAAAAACTATGAAAGTTAGAACGCAAAGTCTTCAATATTTTGTATTGAATAGCCTTTTCTTACTCCGCTTGCACTATTCCTATTCTTCTGAAAAAAAAACAATGTTTTTTCTAACAAATAAACAAAATAGGTAATTGACTAATCAATTGTTGTGTTTACGGATGATAAAACCACATAGAATAGATTAAAAGTATGCAGTGGTAGGCCAACCTTTCAAACTTTGAAGAAAAGCAAAAAAAAGCGTGTTGGTGTGAGTTATCTTATCTAAACTCATACCGTTGCCCCCACACTCACAGCCTCTACCAATTTAGTACACTCACAGAGATAAGTGTCAATCTTTTCTTTGATATCTGGATTTCATGTTATAAAGATGTCGCATGGTATCAAACTCTTTTCATCACAAGATCTCATCTCGTCATCAACTATCTTTATAATTTGCCAAAAAACAACACCAATGTCATACGTCGGATGTGACACAAAAACAGAATGATAAGAAAAATCTAAAGGTCGCTTTTCATCCTTCCTATGAATATTTATATACGTTGTTTGAATAAATTTTGTCATCAAAACGTCTATCGTTGTTTTTCTCTTTTGCTCTAGTTGTTTTACAATCAAGAATGACCGACAAAAGTCCTATTGAAAATTCTAATACGGTTCTATTTTCCAATGATTTTGTAAAATGTTATTCGGATCATCTTATCATTCGTCTGTATTATTTTCCGTTTGGAAACAAAACTATTTATTATGACAAAATTCAATCGTGTGAACTACTGGAAATGCGCGATCTCAGTTTTTCAAAATCCAAATTATGGGGTATGGCATTGGCACCAATTTGGTGGCATTGTGATTTTAGTCGTTATTCTCGTCGATATTATATTCTATTGAATGCAAATCAATGGCCTCAAATTGGTCTCACCATGGATGATGATGATATAGTGAAAGTCTATAAAATACTTAAGAATAAAATGGATATGAATCCATTACCAAAACAGTCACTGCCGGTTCGAGTCAAGGCACAATAGAGAGACATCATTGAATATATTTACAATTGCACACATCTTTTTCTTGTCAACTTTATTATTCCAATAAAATATTATTTAAACAAACTAAGTTTTAATAACTATTGTTTTGATGAGTATTCAAAAATAGATTCTTCTATAGAAAATGAAGTCACATTTTGTTGTTCACATACAGGATGTGGGTGTGGGAGATCATAAAAAGAAGATCGACGTCCGCAGGTCTTTATCTTCCTTCGTTCTCGAGTTATTGAGAAAATAGTCACACGTACGGACATTTTGGATGGAACACTTACTGTGATGCTCCAACAATGGGGTTACTAAGTACCCTAGAGATCAAAATTTCGGATTGAAACATAACCCTTGATCTTCCCTTGGCCGAAAGAGAAGACGGTGCAAAGTTTGGTTGCACTGGCTCTTATGAAATCCAAATGCATAAAGACCAAACAAACAAACATAAACACTTTCTTTTTTATATATTAGATTGCCGAGAGAGGATTGATCTTGAGGGTGTGGGTTTGGGTGAAGAAAAGACGCACACCCACATTTTTTAAACCTAAACAAACAAGCCGTCTTTGAACATGTGAACAACACAACAGCTTTGTGTCAAGACTAACCTTTTTAAATATTGCATATTTTTAAGAAAAACTATTGTTGTAGTTGGCAGAGGTAAGAAAAGTTTGTGTGTGTGTGTTTGTTTGAACGATGATTTGAATGAGTGAACATGAACGAATGTGCTCTCCTTATATACCCTTCGAGAAAAGAGGAATGACGAACTGTAAAATTTCCTTTGTGTCTCTTTTCTCTTTCTACCTCAGTGGGTGATTTCTGTCAGCGTCAATAGATGTCTCTTCATGACTCTAACTTATTTTCCAAGGTATAATTTTTTTTTCTTTCCTGTGTGATATATATATATCTATGATACTGTTGATCATCATGAGTACAGGATGACCTTTTCGCATTACGTCACTTTTTTTCCCTTTTTCTTCTCTATTGCGTTTTTTTAGCGTTATTTCGTGATTTCTATTATGATCTTGTTTTTTGTATATATATATATTATATACATTCTCTCTGTTTTTGTTAAAAATATAAGAACTGTTATTTCTGTTCACCTTGTTAAAAGTACGTTGTTATTATTATTATTATTATTAAATATCATTAACATCAATAAAACCTTTATTGATTATAAATTATTAATTAATCAAAACATCTGATTATATATTTGATTAACCGAATATTACAGTACGGTAAGCAGTTTATTGTGAGTTTTCTCAATAATAAGCAGATAGAGATTCTCTCAAGGTATAAAATCGCCAAATTCAGCCTTGAAGAAATTGAACATCTTTTTCAAGTAGCACATATACCAGATTCAACTCAATTAGACTTGATTTCTTTTTCTTTACGAGAGAATGCTTTGGAATGGTTTAAAGGTAATCGGCCATCATTTAGCACGTGGAACATATTTCTATATGAATTAAAACGACCATTTACTTCATCATTTCATCAGGAATTAGCTTTCAAGAGACTAGAATCGTACATGCAAGAAGAAAATCAGTCTGTTCGAAATTACTTTAACGAAGTTCTTAAGCTATGTAAGGTGGCAGATGATTCAATGAGCGAATCAACAAAATTAAAAAAGTCTGTTGAATAAAATTAAACCTAGTATTCAGTTTGAAGTGTGTAAGAACAAGCCTACGTCAACAGCTGAATTTCTTGAATATACGAAAGAAGCTGAGCAACTCTTACAACTGTCGGCAATGACAATAAATAATGTTAATATCTGTTCCACTACCTCCTATAAATCAGTCATTTTGTAACACATCGAATAACAACTTGTCGAACTATACACAAAATTTCGATAACAATTGTCACTCGTTGGATAATCGAAATGTTCGTTTTGCTTCTAAGAACTCATCATTTGTATACTCCCGAATACCACAAAATAAATTTCGATTTAGTAATAATAATCCGTTACGATATAATCAACAAGTAACTAGCAATACAAATAATAAGAGTAATAAAAAGTTTCAACTACCTCAAATTAATTGATCAACTAGTACTAATAATTCTCGTTATCGTTCAGCTAATGCTATTAATTCATTACAATCATCCACAAATACAGATCCATTACAAGAATCACCTACGTCTATAGTTTCTAATCCTTGCAATGAATTCGGACACGAGCCTTCGGCCTATCCGAATTTTTAGATTTGAAGGGCGGGTGTGGGTATGGATGTATCTTTGTCTTCGTTAGCCATCCATACCACGCTAACACATTGCTCCGGTTGTGTAACTGGTCAATTTAACAGAATGAAGATATTCTCTTTTAGAAATATCCCAGCTAAGAAATAATAAATAATTCTAAGATTCCTTTCAGAAAATGCAGCATTTGTGGGTGTGGGTGTGAATGTGTATGTAGGTTTGGTTCAAAGGCAGGTTCATATCCTCGCCCACACCCTAAACTGTCTTTCATTTTCAGTATATTTAAAATTTAAAGAGCACTGCTTTCTTTTGTACTCAACTTTGAAAGTTTTTATTAATCATGATATTTATCTATACAAAAATTTTAGATCTTAATTAAAAGTAAAAGCGATATCGAACTATAGACACAAAAGTTGGAATGATTTGAACAGTAGACATTGGTCTAAAAAGTTTTCAAAAATTGACTGATCAAAAAGTAGAAACTAATTTACATTCATTAATTCCAGCTTGGACATTTGATGTCATTTGTGGTAAATTGTATGATCATCCAAATATTCTCTATGAATTATAATCATCATCTTTTAAGCATAAAAACCGCGATGGGTAAGACAGTTCGAGCACAAACTGGAGAATCGGAATATGAAGAAGCTGTTATACAGTATAATTTTATTTATACGATTGATAAATCACTTGTTACATTTAAGAATTACAGAGCTTATAACCTTACGAATGCGTTCACCATGATCATGGCCGCGACCATTATTTAAACTTTCCGCTATAGGTTGTGAACACGATCGTCTTGTAGGTATTGTACATAAATTTACTCGACAAGAATGCCAACAACAAATGAAATTAAATATTCGTATCATGAAAGTGCGAGTTTTATTTTATTTTCGTGGTCGAGATCTCTAATAATATCTACAGTAGTGCACAGTTTGCTTTCAAAATATTCTATTAAATTCGCATAGCTTTCTATCTTAGCAAGTTTTGTTTTTAACACATATACATTATCCTACTAGTAGTATAATGAAATCAAGTTAATAAGACTCATTCGTTTTAACGAACACAATTTTATTTTTAGGTAATCGAAGATTGTATTACTAAGTTTTCTTCAATTCATCTGCAATATCGAATGGCATTTCTCGATATACTTATTGCAAAAATGAATGATGAACAAATGTCAATTGATTATATACAAGAAGAAGTCGATACATGTACGTTTGAAGTAAATTTTAACTAATATTATTTGAGAAATTTTAGGGTCATGATACAACTGCAACTGTGCTTAATTTTACTCTATTTATGATTGCACTTCATCAGGATATTCAAAAATGTTTATTCGAAGAAATGCAAAGCATATTTAGTAAATTCTTGAATTAACTATTTCAATATATCTTATTTGATTTTTATCAAAAATGATAATAAACGTACATGTACACTAGATGATATTATATAGATGGATTATCTTAAACATGTTATTAAAGATAAATTAAGACTTCTACCATCTGTTCCAATAATTGGACGAGAAATTCAAGAAACTCTCCAATATAATCTGTTTTTCTTTAAATATTTATCTATGAAATTCACCATGATCCACGATATTTTCTTGAACCAGAAAAATTTGATCCTGATCGATTTTTACCTGGAGTAGTTCAACAGCAGCATCCATATGCATACATTCCGTTTTCTGCTGGTTCACGAAATTGTATTGGTATGTAGAAAAATTCTTTATAGCTTTTTTATTATATTGATTTCATTCTTGTTATGAAAAGTCAACGTTTTGCCTTGCTTGTAGCAAAAGTATTTCTTTTAACAATAATTCATCGATTTCATCTAACAACAAGTCAATATTATTAAAATTTTGTACTGACAGAACAAATAATTCTTCATTCTGATAATTCACTCCAAGTAAAACTTACATCACGTACATAAATTTGTGTATAACAACCTATACGTATTGGATACTTACATGAATGATATGCATCGAAAGTTAAGTGTAAACAGAGAAATCTCTGTCTGAAAGTAAAACCAAGCTGATGAATGTTCGAAGTCAAATGTTGAACAATGACTTTTTTTTTCAAATTAATAATACGATTGTAGGAAAAAAGGAAGATGATCATAATAACCGGGAATTTCATTTTTGTCTATACAAGAAAACTATATACCATTGAACACATTAAACATAACAAAATAAAGCTCTCGTAATGCATAATGTACAATACCGTTATAATTGTTAGTGGGTATAGTTTCAATATTATTGATGTTGACTGCTACATTCGTAGCAACACACCCACACCCGTGAGGATAAGAACTGAAAATGCTGATGATTCTGGAAGACAGAGCATTAGATGCTCAAGGTTACATGAGTGATGTTTTCTTCAATAATTCTAAAACCCGATCGTAAAATGTTTGGAAAGAACTGTATACATCAGTAAGATAGTACTAGTCATTTTTCTACATTCATCCTGAAATATCGTTGAACAGTAAATTCATCTCCTTTATATTTTTCACATTAAATCGTATTAGATGACTTAGTGAAAAATATTAAGAGAACAAATCTTTAGTCGAGTAACTGATATTTATCGTCATAAATATCAATTTGTAAAAAAATGACTTAAAACGAATGTTGACATTTAGGAGCTATCATCCGCATCTAAGTTTTAGCACACAGATTCTGACGGATATAATTATAACAACATAAAAAATTGTGGAAAACATAATTGATAGAAGATCAGAGATCATATATCACGAATATTTCCTTATAATAACTGAACTAATAATGCCTTATTGCATTAATAGCAGCCATATCCTGTTTCATATATTAACATCATAAGGATCGCGCTAATAGATTTCAGAAAGAACATTGATAATTATTAAATTTAGTTTTGTTCTAAATAAAATGAAAATATTTTAAGCATATACAAGCAGTTATCAAATGATGAGTATAAAGTATATAGTCTATAAATATTCTTATGATCTTCGTGCCTTCAAAATATGACAAAACCTACGAAGAGTAATCTGTTGAATAATCGCAATAAATTGATCTTTGTATTTTTTCGCTGGTAATACAAAGACTATAATTGTTATCATAGATGGAATAAAAGAAATTAAATAACCAAATATGTACAACCATGGATCTCTTGGTGATTTCATACATCCACGAGTCAATGAAAGAATTAAACGAGGTATAGTTAATAATATTATTGCACAAGATGCAAATAGATGATGTTTGTGTTGATATAATTGTTGTTGTAAATGTTTTTTAAATGGTATTTTAGATCGAACTTTAGAACGAGAACGAGCTATTGATATGATAAGAATTATAGTAGATATTAAATTGATTGCGAAAGGAGTAAGAAAATGAAAAAAAGTAATGAATATATTAAAGATATTAATTGAAGAAGAGTATCGAACTAAACACCATAATCGTTGTTCATCACCATCAGAATCATTAATTAATTGACGATGAATTGGATCATGAATATGACTGATAATTGTCAGAAGAAATACACATAAAATTATCCATTTAGCTATTTGTTTACTTTTAACTTGATTGAATTTGACACCATTAATAGCAGTAAATACTCGTTCAAGAGTAATACATCCATAAAACCAATCATTTGATGCAACAAGAACTTTGAGAATCATATCTAATAATATACAATTCAATGTAAGAAATGTTCGATTAGTAAGAACGGCAGTTTGTGATAAAATCAATTGACTAAATTTGATTACTAATACAATAATTAGAAGTAAAGAATTGCACGATGATGCCAAAAGATATAAACTACAACCAGTTTGTCTAATATTTTCTTTACAGAATATCGCTATAGATAAAACTCCATTAATCATTCCAAGAATGAACATAAATACTATAATAATGAGACTAATTTTAATTACGAATGGTTGTCAATGAAATAAAACCTTTGGTTTAATATGATAACCAAGAATATAATCAAGAGATAATACAAAACCTCTTGTAGAAAATTGACATTTTGTACCATAATAACATTCAAGACATACGCATATTGATAGAATAGGACATTTAATATTGTCTTGAAAACATAGACCACCATTTTCGCAAATATTTTCTCCTTAACAATCATATGATAAAGTATGATTAAATGTAAAACAATTCGAAAAACGATTAACATCACATATACACATGTATCTATTATCATAAAAGCATTTAAGTTGTTTCTGTTGTTGACACAAATAAGGATAATATTTAGCACGATGAACAAATGAATAATTTAGAAAAGTATTATTCATTAATTCATTTATAGACACACATTGATAATTTGGCAATATTCTTGTTTGAATATGTTCGGATTCGATAAATTTTTCTCTTAATACACCTAAATAGTAAGTTCGATTTGTTAATTCAATAAAGAGAATATGAAATGAATGTGTTATAAAAATTGTAATCATATTTTGATCAAAAGTAATCTTTTTTAAAATTGTCTTATGTTGATGATTATCATTTTCAATAGCAGTAATAAAATGTATAAATACAAATGTCATCATACTAATTTTATCATCATCAAATTCAATATCAATTCGATTTTTCATATTTTCACATCGTGTTCCATAGAAATTTTCCGTACATAAACATGTAGATTTATTTAAACTCATACGATCATCAACAGGTATACAAATTCCATTATTTTGACAAGGATTATTGGATGTTTGACAAATTGAACTTTTTAAATAACATTTTGAACCAAATTTATTCATTGGACAAACACAAATAGATGATGTAAGACAATATGAATCAGATGAACATGAACAATTATGTTTAATATTACATTGATCACCAGAATATCCTTCATCACATTGACAAAAATATAAAAATTTTCGATTTATATATTCTACACAATGACCATGTTTACCACAATATAATGGACATAATTTTGAAATCATAGTTTTATTTTGAATAAATATTTGAGTGGCAATACGATTAACAGGTAGAAACTGAAATGGAATAGGTAAATACCAACTGGCTAAATATTTTAATGATATTTTATCAAATATATCAATATGTATTGAATAATTAGTAAAAGAATTTTTTGGTTGATTTGGATAAAGTAAATAAATATTATATTTTGTGCCACAATCACGTTTTGGTACATATGTTATTTGTTCATGATATGATGTTATTTGTCTTTGTTCATCAATAAGCATGATAATAATTTGAAATATTGCGATTGTATAAGTTTCAACACGATGTACTAATTGAAGTGTCAAACTTATTCGTTGATTTTGCCATTGACATCGATCACCGAAATAACTAGGTGGACATAAACATTTATTTGTTTTATTATCATTAAAATGCATGATAATTCCTCGATTGCAATACCAATTTTTCATTCCACTTATATTTTCATTGATAGTTGGTTCTTTTTTCACTTTGGAATTATTTTGGTTCAATAATGCAATTGAATTTTCAGGAAAATATCCCAATTGTGATGATATCAAAAAAGATTTGTCGAATTCAATTTTTCGTACATTTTTTTGGAAAAAAGGGCAAATATTTTTTTTAATTAAAATAAACCAATATGGCATTATTATTGTATAGGATGTTTCAAGTGGATAGACACAGATTTCATGAACTGGCGTTATTGATGGCATACGGACACAGAGTTCTTCTAAAGAAGTGCATGAAGAATCGTAGGAGAAATATTCTAATGTCTCATTGTTATGTGCCGTATTCAAACTGATTTCATCTTCAGTGTAATAAATTTCACAATCTAAATATTGTTCCATTAAAACCATTAATGGAAAACAAAATAAATTTGTCGATAATCTTCTAGAACATGAAGTACCCTTCCATGTACATTTTAATTTGGGACAATTATGTTCATCAGTACCATCAGCACAATTTTGAAGACGATTACATCGAACATAAGGATTATTACATGGCCAATATTGACAATTTGTTTCATCGGTTTCATTCGATTTTAATAGTAATGGATGATTTTTTCCATCACATAACAAAGCAAATGGAACATCTCCTTTTAAAGTATTACGTTGATTTTCAGTCGTTTCATCTTCTCCATTTTGACAATCATTCTTTCCATTCTGCACTGCTATTGGCGATAAACATTTATTTTGTTCAGATTTACACATAAATCGTTTTGAGTCGTTTAATTGACAAGTAGGAAATACTTCATCTTCTCCAAAATAACAATCAATAATTCCATCAACAAGACGATGTTTTGAAATACATTTCAATGAAAGTGAACAATGAAAAAGTGAGGAATGTGAACAAGATTGTTCTATGCCAGTCGTTGAACAACGAATAAATAATTTTTCAAGAGCATTTTTCATTTTCGTGTCACCATTTAATAATTCATTAGATAATTCACTAGCAGCACAACAAACAAGTCCATTATTTATACCGATATCTATGACGCAATACGTCAGTGCAGGACAATCTTTAGGATTGAAACAAATAAAATCAGGATTAATAAACAAGGCAAAATCCATCAATAATCTATTCGGTAAATAAATAAAATGAAACTTTGAATAAGCGTAGTATACTTCAATCTTAAAAAGCCAATTTGTTAAACATTTTCTTCCTATAGATTCACAAGGGATCATCATATATATTGATGTTGAATTCAGTAATATTTGTTTTAGAATATCGATATTCGAGACCAATGTGGAGTCGAACATTTGAACAGAAAGAGATTCTAATGGCTGAGATAAAGGTTTCATTCGATAGAATACCGCTATCATATCTCGACCATTGGCACAAAGACGGTTTATAGATAGAGGTCCAATATCCGAAAGAGCATACTGACCGTCACCACATGGAAAAGACCGAAGATGCCGGCTGGTATGTTCTTCACATCGAAATGTCGGAAAAGTTAAGCAAGCACTTTTAGAACGGTAAAGCTCTTCTTCATATAATTCTATTTCATCAGTACCGTCAAGACAATCTGCACTTGTAGGTCCATCTTTTACAAATGTTAATGGAATGCATTGGCCACCATAATGGCATCGATATGTGTCATCAGGACATTCATTCATTTCCAATAATTGACAATATTTTTCATCTTCTCCATTCGTACAATCCAATTTTCCATCACAAATTTCACGCCAATCGAGACACACTGACAGTGGATAATTATAGCAGTTAGTAAGGAAAGAATAGCATGTGCCAATATTGTCATCATACAACGTGTCATGTGCCATGCGATGAATAAAATTTCTTCGAACAATATCATCAAATGACACTAGTAGCTTAGTATCAAATCTGTATTGACATTTAGGACCAAACCAAGGTAATGAACAATTGTAAAAAACTTTTGTTAAATCTAAAACTTTCATTTCATATTTTTCGGCAATATCAATTGGTACCGACCATTCAAGTAATTGCTGACTTGTTACACCTTGTTTATATAATTCATTAAATGTAATAATTTTGTCTATATTATTCATTGAAATATTTGACAAATGATCTTTCATTTCATTTTGATCTGGTCTTCGGCAGTATGGAATCAGATGATAAATCGTTATTTGCGAAGAATCAATATATTCATCATAACCTGTCATATGTGCATAAAGACAATCAAAGAAAGAGTTAGATCTTGATTGATCATTTGAATGATACATCGAATAGTGAGTGTCGAATGCATTGAATGACAATAGAAATATTAGTAATTGTAAAGTATTCATAGTTGATTAGGATACTACCAATAAAATAATTTCCTTTTTACTTTCTCTAATCGTATTCTGAAATAAAATGTATTATATGAAGTAAGCGCACAGTCAATTGCAATATTTCTATGTACTACAAAATAACACCAAAAAAAAAGATTCTCCTTCCTACGACATCATGTCTTCACTTTTAGTATTCATTTTTGAGTCAAAACCATTTTGAAATAGATAGAGTTACGAAAGAAGCCGCTAAATAGGCATTCTCCGAGTTCTGGAAATGTTTCACTATAGCTATCGACGAATAATAAATTTAACTCTGGATGTTGCTACATGCTGCTGTTCGTGCTAAGATTTACTTCTCACCATAAAACTGCAACTTATCAAGAATTTGTATATCAATATAGCACCGTTAGTCTCGAATCAAGTCGTTACTTATAAATTTTATTAGTATAATAATTCAAAAAAATGATCTCTACTTTACGTGAAAGTTGTCGATCCTAATACATTTTTGCTGTTGAGTTTCTAAATCTTTAGAAAA